TCCAAGTGTATTTAGCTGAAAAACAGTTCCCTACATCATACACTGTCATCAAAGCACAATGGAAGTCTGGGGAAATAATTCTAAAAGAAAAAAAATGCTAGAAAGAAATGTGAGAAAGGGGGACCATCTAGTAAAAAAAAAAAAAAAAATGAGCAAGACTACATCCGTAGATGTGGTCTGATCTCTGAAGGCCATCATGAGGACAGGGATCAAAGTGTCCTCATCCAGACAAGAAAAAGGAAGCCTCCAGGTCATCCCCCGGCCAGTGGGCATGGAACTACAGAAGTGAAGGTCACACCCAACTTTGCTGACGTCAACAGGCATTTCCTGGCCCACACTCAGGATTAACCTGATCTGTCTTCCCAGGGCTCCAGGAACTATAGACACAGTCCATCTAACAGTGGCTTTGGTTAGATGTGGACCATCACTTTTTTAGAAAGAATTTCCAAGTGGCTATTCTGTGCTTTTTCTTTCTTTTAATGCTTAAGATTTCTTCAAATATTTTTGAAGCTCCTGGAGAGTGGGCCTCTATTTCCTGAACATCTAGCCAGAGCTTTCCACATACTGATGGAAACACCTATGAGGTGGTTCCTGCAGAAGCCAGGAACCTGTCTGTGGCTCCTGATCTAATTTCCACTGGTTTCCTGGGTTCCCAGAATGGTCCAGTGGCAGCACATCAGGAGGGTTTCATGCTTAAAATCAGCAGGGTGGGGCAGAGGTAGTTGGAGTTTATTTTTGCCACAAGCACTATAGTTTCCTCCTACTGTGGTATATTGGAGAGCACAAAACTTCATTGTAGAATTGTTTCCGCTACCCATATTTGTTCCTTCCCTATGGAAACAGAGCATATTATCAGAATCTGCATAAGGGAAAGAAGTTGGAGACTTCAGGGAGGTAGGCTGTGGCTGGACCAGGGGTTCTTGGCTACAGCTCTGGCACTGTACATAGGACCCCATCTTCTGTAGGCAGCCTTAGAGCAGTAGAACCTGCAGCAGAGTGGAGGGTCCACGTGCCCTCTGAGCAGCCAGACGTGATGGAGGCAGAGCTGACTTAAAGCTCGCCCTGATCCTCTCTCCTTGCATGCATTTGGCAATTACATCCACATATCATAGCCGTTAGACAACTGAGGCTAATTCAGGACAACAAAATATTGGTACATTGATTGGTGTGGTGCTGGTTTAGCTAGCCTATATTTGGCGAGATAATGTTTGCTGTCTCCCGTTCGTCATTTTTCCTTGTACATGTTTTTAGTACACATTCTTCTTCAGGACCAGAGAAGGCACAGGATTTTATATTCCTAATCTCAGGGGAGTAGCCAAGAAAAACTTTTCACATTCTTGTTTCCTTCGCTAATCGGTAGACTTTGGTATATCAAATAATAGAGGCCTAGGCAGCACCTATAACTCAGTGGTTAGGGCACCAGCCACATACACTGAGGCTGGTGGGTTCAAACATGGCCCAGGCTGGCTAAAATAACAATGACAACTGCAACTACAACCACAAAAAAATAATAGCCAGGTGTTGTGGTTGGTGCCTGTTGTCCCACCTACTTGGGAGGCTGAGGCAAGAGAATCACTTAAGCCCAAGAGTTTGAGGTTGATGTGAGCTGTAACACCATGGCACTCTACCCAGGGCCACAGCTTCAGATTCTGTCTCCAAAAATAATAATAATGATAATAAAGGCCTAGAACCAAAACTCTCTGAACAATCTTATTCAAACAGATTAAAATAAAAAACAGTATTTTTTGAATTCCAAAGCTGCATTTAACATGGAACCAAGAACCATCGGATGAATTAGCACAGTCTGCCATTGAAACAGAATTTTGACAAGTGTAAGAAACCACTGTGTGTTAGACCATTTTGTGTTTCTGTGAAGGAAATAACTGAGGCTGGCTAATTTATAAATAAAAGAGGTTTATTTGGCTTATGGACCTGCAGACAGTACAAAAGTTGGGCAGCAGCATCTACCTCTGGTGAGGACTGCAGGGAGCTTCCAGTCAAGGCAGAAAGTGAAGAGACAGCAGGCTTGTCTTGTGGTAAGAGAAGAAGGGGGACAGGGAGGAGGCAG